CCTAGAAATCATAACTGCAGAAACAGGGACAAGGCGTTGGAAATGAGGAGTTACGTAGGGTCTGCCTTCGAAGATCTTCAAGCTGCCTTATTTTCATGTGTGCTATTCAGATGTCTTAGCAGTTCTCAGCACAATGCATTTTGGAAATATATTAGCTATTCAGTGTAGCTGTTTTCAGGTTTATTATGCAATATCCTGATTTTGATTCATGAAAATATTTCATTAAATACAATCGCTCATGTAATTACTGTACTTAATCTACAGCATACTTTAATTAACATTGCACAGACTTTTGATTTAATCAATTAGATTTGATCTAGTATAACTCAGCTGTAAAATACTTTTTATGATGTAGCAGCCCAAAATAATTATCAAGAGCTAAGGTAATAGACAACTTGAACTAAAACTAACAAATTCCTTTGTTAAGAAGAGCAAATCATAATTTGAACTATATTTTTATTCTTAAAAAAGTAAACTGTGAAGAGTAGATCATTCTGGTTTGATCGATAGTCTATTTTAAAAATCTCATTGGGAGCATTAGAACTTAAAAAAAATGTTTTATTTTTGTGTTCATTTCCTAACAGCTTCGGGAACAAAAGATTAAACTCAAGCAAGATTCTCCACTTTTTGGCCTTGTAAATATACTTACCTATATCAATATCTCATGATTATTGCTTACTGTTATGGGTTGAATTTCATCCCCCCCAAAATATATGTTAAACTCCTAGTCCCCAGTACCTCAGAATACAACTTTATTTGGAAATAGGGTCATTGTAGATGTAACTAATTAGGATGAGGTCATATGGTAGTAGGGTGGGCCCCTGATCCAATATGACAGTGTCCTTGTAAGAAGATGGCCATGTGAAGACAGAGACACAGAGAGAGAATGTCATGTGAGTCCAAGGCAGAGATTAGAGTTATGCAGCTGAAAACCAAGGAATGCTGGAGATTGCTGGCAACCAACCAGCAGCAAGGGAGAGGCAAGGAAGGGTTCTCCTGCAGGTTGTAGAGGGAGCATAGCCCTCCTGACACCTTGAATTTGGACTTCTATCCTCCAGAACTGTAAGAGAATAAACTTGTGCTATTTTATGCCATCTGGTTTGTGGTACTTTGCTACGGAAGCCCTAAGAAACTAAAATATTCACTAAAACTGATTAAGTTGAGAACTAAAATGCAACATAACCAGAATCTATAAAATTACTTTTTATGATAGTGGGGGAGAAAAGTATCCTGCTGAACTATTTTTAAAAATGCATGTGCTGTTTTTAGTTGAAGTAAACTTGTATATTCTTAAGTAAGTATTGACATGCAAGTATTGACATAAATATTATACTTTTGTTCCTTACACACAGCATCTAGTAGAGTGCCTTGAACATAAATCATCCCACAGTACATTTTGTGGCTTAATTTTAAAAGATTAAAAATGAAAATAGCCTATGAATATTAAAATATCCACTTATAGAAATTGAACCATAAAATATATACAGTGCTACTGAAATGTAAGAGTAATCATTGAAAAGAATTTTCATGAGGTTCATCAAAACAAAATTTCATCTTGAATCCATATATGGCTAATAAAGAAACTATATACCCTGCAGTTTGTGGATTATTCAGATTCTGCATTTTCTGTTGCCCTTATTTTGACTTTGAAAATAATACTATTAGCACCTACCTATACTATGTAATAGGCAGGAACAAATAAAAGAATGTAAATTTTAGTTACTGGTATTAACTTGCTAACAGAATCTTATTACATAGGGTATGGGAAGGATAGAAATTAAAAATAGGAAAAATGAATTTGGGGGGTTACCTGTAAATTTTTTTCCCCTGAATACCCAAGAGTTGATTATTGTTTGGTTGTCACAGGGGTGATAATGTTTGATGGAAAGACATCAACAGACACCAGCAAAGGACCTGGACACAGACAGCTAACAGAGCAGTCACTATGGCAGCATGCTCCCAACCAGAGGGGAAAGTCTCCTGGCATCAAGTGTCTGTGACGATCACTGGATGATACCAGCTAATTGGTATGCATCTTGTCAGGTCCTTTGAGAAGTAGCATCTTTCTGTTCTCCAGGGGTGATAATGTTTGATGGAAAGACATCAACAGACACCAGCAAAGGACCTGGACACAGAGAGCTAACAGAGCAGTCACTATGGCAGCATGCTCCCAATCAGAGGGGAAAGTCTCCTGGCATCAAGTGTCTGTGATGATCACTGGATGATACCAGCTAATTGATATGCATCTTGTCAGGTCCTTTGAGAAGTAGCATCTTTCTGTTCTTGGAGGTCTTCATAAACCTCCAGTCCTTCAGATTGTTCTGGATACTTTGACTTTTGCCAATATACTGGTAGAAATAACTGGCATAATACAACTGCCCACCTCCAGATCATTCTGGAGCAGTTGCTGCTAGACAGGATGAATTGAACTTTAAATTCCCAGGTGTAGTATTCCTTAGTAGGACCAACTTTCAAACCTGCCTGAGATCTATTCCTGAATTATGTAACAGGTACTACAAGATAAAAAGATAAGATTAGATTGGTAAAACATAGACAAAACATATTTCCTGATGGTTTACAATATTCTGATTTCTGTGCTAGGCACTCCACATGTAATCTCATTTAATATTTGTTTTAAATTTAATTTCAATATTATTTTTAATAGAAACAATATACATACATTTCATAAACATCAAAAGGACTGGGTGGTGAGTAGTTGGGAGTTTGTTTTTTAAAATTATTGTTTTCCTTTAAAAGATATAGTCTTTGGTATGTATATTTCATAATAAAAAATAAAACCAGTCAAATAATATGACAAGGTTTATATTAAAACAACAGTCTTCTGCTCCATCCCTCCATAATCCCAAATCCCTCTCATTAATCCAATAATTATTATCGTTTTAGTTATTTCTTGTAGTATTTACTTATTTCTAAATAATGTGCATATACAAGTATTTCTTGATTTTTCAGACTTAGAGACTATCTATTGACTTCTTTCTAGGGAAGATGAGGATTTAGCTCTCCTATTCCCCCCTCCTCTCACTTACATTTCACTTCTTCCTATCTTTCCAAAATATGTATATCACAATTTTAGGTTAAACTAATACTTAGGCTAACATTACGTATCTTATTTTTTTTTATTTTGGTTTTTAGTGGCTGGTGAGTACAGGGACTGAACACTGGGCCTTGGTGTTATCAGCACTGTACTCTAAGCAGCTGAGCTAACTGGCCAGCCTCTAACATTATTTTAACTATGTAAATGTCACTTATAGCTGTCACGTAGTACACTCTGATTCTATTTCTTGTATAACACATTGTTTTTGCCAGTTAACAAAATACATTTTTTTGTTTGCTTGATTTTCTGTGCTCTTATTACTAATTCATCCCCAAGTTCTCTAATATTAGGGTATTTTTAAAAATTTGTATAAAAATAGACTTAAAATATAATATGAATCTTTCCATGAACTTTTTGAAGTATCCTTGTATAAGCAAAAGTTGCCTCTGAACATGTTTAAGTATTTTATCCATTTCATATTTATCTCGGGGAATTTCATCTGAAGTCTTCAGTTTTCTCAGTTACTGAGAACCAAGTAATTAAATATCAACAAGTTAGTTGTTCTGTAAGTCTGACATACAGCTGTTACCTGGGACTTTTCCCTTCATTATCATGAGATAGTTTTCAGTGCCTGTCTCCTGTGTTAGATTCCTAATGTTCCTGTACGTTACATCTTTCTCTTGGTGTAGGCCTTAATTTTGGTAGAGCACATTTAGGATTATCCTGAGAAAGGTAAATAATTTAGGACCTCACATTTATGAAAATGTCTATATTCTACCCTCAATATTTCACTGATAATTTTGCTGGGTGTAGATTTTCTGTATAATTTTCTCCCAGAATTCTGAAGACATTTCTCCATTGCCTTCAAGTTTTAGTGGTGCTGTTGAGAATTTTCATGCTACCTTAGTCCTCATTCCTTTGTCTGTTATCTCTCTTTTTTCCCCCTCTGGATGTTTTTAGGCTTATCTCTTTATCCGGGTATTCATGATATGTCTTGGTCAGACAAATCTGCTAAGAGGATTTGTATTTGCTTACACCAAATGTATGGGGATGTTACCAGCCTAGGATTAATCTGCTTTAAATTCTTGGCTAGAGTTTTATCAGCCCATTTAGGTAGTCTGAACTTGGACCACAACCTGTGTAAAGACTGACTTGTGGCTACAAATTCTCAGTGCCAATTCTCTCCTTTCTCCTCTTGCCAAATTTGAATTGGTCAATTTTCCTTGCGGTTCATTAGAAGTAGTATGGGGTTTATTTCTAATTTGCCCTTACACTGAAGGTACAGCCCTTGGGAATCCCAGAATTCTGGTAGGAGGAGAATCTATTAGACTTCCCAATTTGGAGTAGCCCCGGGCTTTGTTCTCTAGCCCCATTCCTCAAAGTCCTGTGAAAATCAGTCTACACTCAGCTGGTTTGACAAATGCTCTCAGGATAACAGGCTGCCACTTAACCTCTGTAGATTCTTGTTCACTCAGTGCCTGGCCTGGATTTCCTTACTTTCTTGTCTGGTGATATTAAGATGATTAAAACATTATAATTTGTCCAGAAGTTTTAGTTATTTCCGGCAGTCCAGATACCTACCCTGTCATCTCCCTGGAAATAGAAGTCTGTGTTACTTTTCTGAGCCCCCTACCTCATAGGAGTGTGAGGAATAAGTGATAGTATTAGTGTAAAGCTCATAGCTCTATGTCTGGCCCCCTAACTAACGTTTACTCATTTTTTTTTTAAAAGTGGCTTTCTCAGAGCTCAAACATAGGTTGTTCCATCTTGCTATATTTTTATAGGTACATGGTACACTAACACCAGAGGATGATGATGTAAATAACTGAGGTCTCGGTAAATTGTATATTTATTATATAAAGAAATGTGGTTAATTCTTTCCATTTCAAAAATTTTCATTTCAAATGAGAACCAAGTAATTAAATATCACTAGGAGCCTAGATCTTAACTGAGAACATGAGGTTTATTGAAGAGAAATCCTTAATTAATTTGCACATGTCTTGAGACAAAGGAATTTGTAAACATCTCTTCTCCCTAGAAATCAAACAAGACTCTAAAGGGATATAAAATGGATGCATCCTTTTATAACAAACTAGGCTATGCCCTTATTTTTACTGTCTTCCATTGTCATAAAGAGTTGAATTGCATGAGAAGGTCCTTTTAAAGTCATTGATATGTTCATTCTAAGCAGTTGCCCTTCACTTTAAAAACAATTTCTACCCAGTGCCAACTAGCCCTTGCTCAGAATCAGCTCTCTCTTTCTGGTGGCTGACTTGGCCCTTGGGCCCTCTCAGGGACACTTCTTTAGCAGGTGCATTGTGATATTCTTCACAGCCAACATGGTCTCTGTACAGGTGGGTTTGATGAGCATCTCAGGGAGTAAAAATCCAAAGTGTCCAGTGTCACGTAGTTCAAAAGCAAAGGCATAGGGTATTCCATTTTTGTAGGCCCAATCCATTGAGCTGCCAGAGCTCACATCTAAAAGTTAAAAGAAAAAGAAAAAGAAAAAGAAATAGATTAGCCTCATTAAAGAGTCTGTATAATTTTCTAAATGTATATATAGTACTTGCTTACTAAGCTATACTATATCCTTCCAATTAAATACCATTTCAGTAAGAATGATTTAACAGTAGTTCCTTGGTATTTGGCTCATAGAACATATAAATCACACCTGCCATCATCTTGGAGCATCTAGTCTAAGTATTAATGCTTTGCCACTATGGTGACCTCAATTCCAATAACATAAATCTTAATGCTCACTTTATTCACCTATAAATAACCTACACCATAGATTTTCTTTGTTTTTCAGTTCTTATCACTCAGTTCTCCACTTCCGTGGTCTAAAATATTAAAATTCTCTTTCCAGAAAACCTCCTCATCTTTTCCACCTCCCCTATTTTTCCATTCCTGCTGGACTTGTTCTTTGCTTTTACTCAAGTTTGGAGTTTCCAGACTCACCCTGCCTTCTTGTGGCTTTGTTTGACTCTCCACTTGGCTATGGTCAATTACTTCATTGAATTTTTCACCGGACCCTCATGATGCCTCATCCCTGTCCTTTTTCTGCCTTTGTTTTGCCAATTGTCAATCCCTGGTCCAGTTTCTCTGCTATCACTCCAGGTGTGGGAGCAAGAGAAAGTCTTTGCTGAATAGATAGCGTATAAATTCATACCGTATAATCACTGAAGTCTTTTTCTGCTCCCAGTGCTGCTCTATGCTGCTTCCTACAGTCTTTCACTTACTGAAACTTTCCTATTCTCTACTTGTCCCACCCCTCACTTTACCAATGTCCCCCTTACTCTAGATGGTTACCCCGTCATCTCCTCTTCTGACATCAGAGCCCTCTGACTTTTCTCCTTTTAGTTCAGAGGAAGAAATGTTGCTCGCCTTTTACATGTGTCACCTCTTGATTGTTATTGTCCTCTTTGGTAGTGAGAGAGTTCCTTTTCTAGGACCCTGTTTCATTAACTAATCCCCCCTCTCTTGCATCTGCATTGACCAAAATTCTCAAGGACTCCTTTCCTACAGCACTGCCTTCTCATGACACTGCCCTATACCCTCGATCACTAGCCTCTTTTTCTTCTTTTGCTTAAGAACTCAGAGAGAATCTGTATATGTTCTTTCCACATCCTCAACCACTTTCAGTCTGATTCTTGCCTCCACTCTTTTATTAAACTTTGTTCTTGAAGGTCACCAATGACCGCAGGCCTAATCTCCTTTTCTGTTTTTTTTTTTTTTTCCGCCTCTGATCCCAGCATTTAACATAGCTGACAATCCATTCCGGCAACTCTGTCCTTCTGGCTCCTGTGACCTCACACCCTCCAGCTTGTCCTGTCAGCACAGAGCTGACAGCACAGGCATTAGAGGCAGACTGCCAGTGTGGGCTGTATCCGATCCCACCACTTACATGTGACTTTTCTGTGCCTCAGTCTCCCTTTTTGAAAAGGGGATGATGATGATACCTGCTACATAGGGTTGTTGTGAAAATTAAATGAGATAATAAATCACATGAAAGTGCTGTTATTATTTTGCATCTTTATACCCCAAAATGCCTGGTATGCAGTTTTTAGTGTAACAGGCTCTTAATAATGATTTATTAAATGAATAAATATTTCATAGAAAAATCTTTGTACACTTCTTTGCCTGAAATTTATATGACCTAGCTTCACATAACACTATTATTATTAAATTTCCAGAGCATGTTCATTTACTCAAATAATATCATTTTTATGCTGTTTTTCCTAGGAGAAGTTAGAGATGGAATCATTATGTAAAGATGACAATTAAATGACTCTGCTGTTTCTCAGATTCCCCTTGCTTCAGTTAAGGGCAGAAGATAGGCCGTGGCTTCTGTGTCCCTCTGGTTAGAGAACATCGGAACTACAAATAGTAGTCATAGTAGCCAAAGTCAGAGACGATATGTGCCAACAGTTACATCATGGTGATGTGACAGCCTCATTTCTATGGTAACAGATTGTCCTCAGTAAATATAATGCTATGACTGTGTCTTTTTACCAAGCTGAAAAGGTGAACTGTTAATAAGATTTTTAAAAATTAATGTTTTAAAGTTGTTTATTATGATGGAATTAATTGGTAGTGTACTTTTAAAAATACTATTTTCCTCCCTTTCAGTGTGATATTGAAAAACTATTGTAAAATTGTCAGCATGAGACCAGTGATCATGGACACTGAAAAAAAAATCTATTGATACTTGTGACATTCTCATTATGAGGATAAACTTATTGACAAGCAGTGTTAATTGACAAATCAAGCTTTTGTTCTGAAGGCTGAAGAAAGTAGAAAGCAAGACATTAAAAATATAATGATAGGGAGATTAAAGAAATCAGGAGCAATTTGCTACCTCAATGAGAAGCATAATCAGATGCCACTATCTACACATATACATACAACATGTGTATGTTTACCTTCACATGCATACATAGACATTCAAATATACATGATTTCTCACTAGATTTTCCAAGTCAAATAATTAATGCATTTTAGAGTTTGAAAGGCCATGAGAAATGATCTAGTCCAATTCTTCATGTTCCAGCTGTGGAAACTGAAACCCAGGATTAATAAATATCTTGGCCTAGATGGCACACCTGGCAGAATTAGGGCTAAAATTCACATCTTATGATTCTTTGTTCAAGTTCTTTCCAAATACCCAGTTGCTCTTTATTTCGTGTAAAAGAAGAAATCTTTAAAATCACCTTTTAAGGGAAAATGCAGTCAAAGTTTCTACGTAAGAAATGGCATTTCATAACAAGAATGGTGGAGGAAAGGCACCACAGGGAAGCTGTTGCAGGGCTGAAACATTTGCTTCATTATCTTCCCAAGGCCTGTTTCCACCCTTGCAGTAGTTCCAATTGCTTAAGGAGCCCATTTTGATATACTCCACTGTCATAATATCTCAATTCAACTTGTAGTCATTACTGCATGCTTAGCAAATTCTCTGCTTAGAATTTGTTTAAATTGGTACAGTGGTTTCTATCAAGCTGTGTAAAACTAATCAGATATAAACTCCCTCCATCTTCCTTGGCTAATTTGTTAGTCAAAAATTTCACTTTAGGGAGAACACACTTTCTTCTTTTTAAAGGGAAGTCATGATACAGGATAATGATTCAAGAGAGATGATTCTAACACAATGTATGCAGGAAACTTACACAACGTTCTGGAGGCAGGTCCATATCTATACCGTATCCCGTACACCGACTGAAGTGCATTCACAGCTTTGTAAGCTGCGGATTCCTGTGAGGGAGAAATGATATCATTTATATTGTTGCATTGAAACTTTTAGAAACACTGGCATGTTGTTTGAGCCTTATCAGTCATCAACATGGAGAACACTGAGGGGCACATTAGTTAATAGCTACATTTAATAGTAGCATTACACAGTATTACTCTTCTATCACATGCTGTATTTTCTGAATGTTTTGGAACACATCATTTCATTTGATTGATTCTCACAACAAGCCAGGGATCAGTAATATTTCCATCTTACAAGTGAGAAAAGGAAGGCTCTGTGAGGTTAAATGGATACTCTCAGGTTACACAGCAAAGAGTGGTTCAGCTGGGATAAATACACATATTTTCTGAGGCTGACTTAGTGTTCTGTTCTCTTCACTTTAGTTCAGGGACACCTATTTCTATAAATTATGAAATGTTTGACAGGGCAGGGGCCATGTCAGTCTTACTCATAGCTTGTACCCAGTACTTAACAATGTGCCTGTACATAAGCAATGCTTGATCAATGTTTTATGTACAAATGTTGAATAAGCATAAATCTGCAAAAGTATTAAGATAATCGTATTGATTCTCAAGTATATATTTCAGTGTATATATTCAAGGTATTTAAAACACATCTGGATCAGTTAAGAAGCCCTTTAATTTAGTAAGAATGACTTCTCTTATGCTCTTTGTTTATCCTTAGTGGAAAAGGGAACAATTTCAGAATGGTTCATGATTTCTAAGGTTACATACACCTTTCACAGAGGTTACTCAGGTACTGCTAAGATGCAGAAATTCTAAGATGAAACTCTTCCTACCAATGCCAAAAATCAGGAAAAATATTCAACACAATGAAAATACTGAAAAGTAGATATTCTAACATGAATTAGAATGATATGGACTATCCTTTAAAACATTTTCAAATGATATAAAAGCACTAGTTTCAAAAAAGAGTTAGAGAAGTATTACATGACAGTTGAGAGGAAAAAAAGTATGCTGAAACCAGTATACAACTCTCCTATTTCAATTTGCCTCTGAATAATTTAATACTTGAATTGAAGCACTCTGGACAACATGGTGGCATGTTGGACTGAGCTTCAGGTTGCTGTCCTCATTCAGCTCAGGGATGTGTATGGCAGTATTTGCAGCAAACTCTTTGTGGCTCTTGAGGGACCAGGCTCCAGGAGCTGGCACACTATTTATTATTGATCTCCCTGATGACATTCTTTTAACAGAGCCAACAGAAAAGGAATGTAAACACCATAATGAGGTATCTTTATGGAGGATGTTTTAAGATTTTGACATCTTCTTCAACGACCTCAGCAATATTCTGTGGCAAGGGCAGATATTTCTACATTTAGAAGATTACTGCATTCTGCTGGTGAAGAGACCTTTGTTCCTCATTATTTGAGATGACTAAACCCAAGGAAAAAATGATTTTAAAAAAGAGAATCATCCCTTTGCCTGTTTACACAGAGCATTCCCATACTTTTAGCCTTTTGAGCTCTCTGCACTTCTGCCATTTGGGTACAGGTGCATATTGATAAGTGGTTTAGATATTATCTATCCACAAAAAGTGAAAACTTCAATTCCCAAGAATTATTTTCCAGGGTAGCACAGCTAGACACCTATTTGAAAGAGTGATTCCTTCTTTCTCTCGTTTCCTCTTTCTAACTGTCTAAAAGAAGCTAGGCCTCACTTATTGGTCCTTGACTAAGTAAAGAACATATTTTTTTATTAAGATAATTCCATATTTAAAGTAACTTAATGAATGACTTAAACAATGTTAGCAGAAACACAGACTGTTACATATTGATGGAATGTTTTAAAAAAATTTTTAATAGAATTTAATGGTTTTTGGTTAACATTCAAAGATTGCCTGCTTTCTGAGAATTGTAATCTTAGTTTTAGCTATTTCTCTTATGCTTAACCCACTCCAGATTTCTCAACAATGGCACTATTGACATTTTGGACTGAATAATCCTTCGCTGCTGGGGGCTGTCCTGTGCATTGTAGAGTATTTGGCAGCATCCCCCACACCCCCATTTGACGCTCAAAAATGTCTCCACACTTTTGCCAAATGTCCATTGGGAGGCACTTCCATCCTTGGCTTTGAACCACTGATCTACTCTTATGCCACATCCTCCAATCTAAGACAAAAGGAAAATAGGTTTAATCATGGTGGGAAGATAAATCTAAAATATGGAGAACATTCTCATGCCACAGTTTTTATATAAGGCATTTTCCATATCATCTGTTGTGAGAATATAAATAGACACTGGACCCACTTAAGAAAATGTTAGACATTTGCCTATAGAAATATTGAGGTTAGAGTGCCAGGTCAACAGAAACAGCAGCAGCAGCAGCAGCAACAAAAACACAGAGAAAGTCTATTAGACCCATAGAACAACTGAAGTATAGCACTGCAGAATGTAACTATCACCTTTGCAATATACCTAAAGAGAGAGAACTTGCTCAGAATTCTTGGAATGCCAACAAAGTTCCCATTTTGGACAGAATAAAAACTTTCCCCAGGCCCTATTCTGGCTTCCTCAGATTCCCCATTCCTTCCAGGTCTTGGACATCTAGGTTAGGAATTCCTGAACCCCCAAGCAATTGGTGCAAGGATTTGGAGTTCAAAGTATAGGGAGAAAGAGAATGCTTTCCTTTTATAAAAACTTTTCATTCAAGTACATTGTGGTATATTAAAAAATAAATATTTGGTCTTGGCTTTGGTCTCTGACACATAGCTCCTAAAAACCCTTGAAATCTCCAGAATATGAGTGTTTTTTAAGAGTCTTGGTTTTGAAAGTTTCAACCATATGACTAAGGGTTGGAAGCTTCAGCCCCAACCCCAGCCTCTGAGAAGGGGAGAGGGCCAGAGAGTGAGTTCAATTACCTATGGCCAATGACTTAATCAATTATGCCTATGTCATGAAACCCCCATAAAATCCCCTAAACGATGGGGTATAGCGAGCTTTTGGGTTGGCGAACACATCACAGTGCTGGGATGCTGGTGCACTAGAGAAGGCCTGGAAGCTCAGCAGCACCCACTGCCTCACGTTGGCACTATGCATCTTTTCCATTTGGCTGTTCCTGAGTGTGTTAGATAATAAACATGTAATAGTAAGTAAAGCACTTTCTTGAGCTTTGTGAGTCATCCTAGTGAATTATAGAAACTGAAATGGAAGTGGTGGAAAACTGCAACTCTGTAGCCAAGTCAAACAGAAGTGTGGGTAACCTGGGAACACCAAACTTGTGACCAGCATCTAAAGTGAGGGCAGTCCTGTGACATTGAGTCCTTAAACTTGTGGAGTCTGGTGCTAACTTTGGTTAGTTAATGTCGGGATGGAATTGAATTGTTGCATACCTAGTTGGTGTCAGAGAAGTGGTGTTGGAAAAGACACCATGCATTTGGTGTCAGGAGGAAAAAACCCCTTGAACATACATACAGAAGAACACACAGATTTTAAGTTTATAGCTCAATAAATCACAAATTGAACACATTCATGTAACCACCATCCAGCTCAAGGAATAGAATAGTAGCAGCAACCCAGAAATCACCTCGTGCCTCCTCCCATTCACTGCACTGCCTCCTATTTCCCCACAGGTAATTGCTATCCGGACTTCAAACACTGTGTATTAGCCTTTCTTGGGTTTGAACTTTATAGGCCTTTAGATGCAATAGGCTCTCAAATGACTCATTTTATGATGAATTACGCCCTATAGTAGAGAGCTTGTTGGGTTTCTGATATAAGAAGAGGAATGAACTCTGCATTTTCATTTTCAAGTAATCTTATGCCTGAAAGTCTGTTCATTCTGACTGTTAACTTAAAAATACACGCCCAGAGACTTACTAGCATTAAGCAAACAGTGCTTATAAATTAAAACTTGTTTTTAATTAATGAGAGTCAGACTATAATTTATGAACAATTATTGACTCAATAAAGTTAATTACAGCTCTGCATATGTGACCAAAGCTGTAATACTAATCAAATCCATCCTGACCTTTTCTGTATAATCTGTAGTAAGAATGGTTTGAAGTGATGTATTTGAAAATCAGCCTCGTGGTTAAAAGCAATGACTCTGGAGCTAGATGTGGGGCTGGATCCTGGCTATGACACTTAGTAGTTGTTTATTCTTAGTCTAATTACTTAACCTCTCTTGGTCTTAGTTTTTTCATCTGTAAAATGGGGGTAATAAAAGTTGCCTCATCTGATTGTTATGAAGAATAATGAGTTAACATATGTAAAATAATTAGTAGAATAAACACTGTGTTTGCTATAGTCATTAATATTTAGAACCATATTAGCATCAGAAAGGAAGCATGAAGCCACATAGAAAATAAAGGGTCAAATACTTACCACACAGTTAAAATTGGGGATTGTTGCATATTTGTAAGAATAGGGATACAGCAACATTTGAGCATATGCATGAAAGGAGAGGTAAGCCCTAATGTGCTTTCTGTGTTTTCGGAGGAAGTTAGCTACAGCCTTCACTTCTGGCTCAGATTCTGGGAAAGGGCCACAGTATGTATCATCACAAGGGTGCATAGAAGCTCCTTCATCTGCAAGTCAGAAAAGAAAATGGGGTGGGGGAGTGGGCAGGGAAGAAGTGAAAAATAAGTCAACACTGTTAAACTGTGATTTTTCTTACATTTCTGTAATCATATGGTATTACTAAGCAATTCATCAAACTTCTCATTTACAGAAATCAATGCTGAAAATTCCAAGGTGATTCAAGCCCCTTTGCACAATAGGAGGGCCTGGATGAGAACCAGGTACTGATTAAGTGAACCTGCACAAATGACTGCAAGGGATGGCTCTATCAGCTATCAGTTCTTTTGATGCAGAACTAATTCTATACAACCCACTAGAGCAGGTTAGGTCTCCCATTTATATGCTCCACAACACCTGTACTTTTTCCTCATAACATTCAACATATTTGTAATTAGTATTAAATATTTACTCATTTAATATTCAACCAATATTTACACTGTTCTAAGTGCCTGGGACCAATGGAAACAACACAGAAAAAAATCTCTCCTCTAATAGAACTTGCATTCAATCTGGAGTCTTTGTTAGACTCTAATGCTCTGTGAAAGCAGGCACTGTGTCTTCCTTGCTGGACACCTGGCAGCTAGAACAACAGTAGAGCAAGAGTTCAACAAATACTTGTTGAATAAGTCAATGTCAGATCAAAAGAAAAGGCGATATATCTGTAAAGGTATATAATGATATAGATAGGACAAGAACATAAATGCAAGCCAGAAATAATTCCACCAAACATGCTTAACCAATTTCTAATATATATGTAAAGGTATATAATGATATAGATAGGACAAGAACATAAATGCAAGCCAGAAATAATTCCACTGAACATGCTTAACCAATTTCTAATATATATATATATATATATTTTTTCCCCTTTTTGTCTTTTTTACTGACCGGTAACGGGATCGCAACCCTCGGTGTTGCGCCCGCACTGCGCTCAGCCAGTGAGTGGGAACCGGTCTCCACATGGGATCTGAACCCTTGGCGGGAGCGCCGCTGCGCTCCCAAGCGGCGCACTCTCCAGTGCGCCACCGGGCCGGCCCCTAATATATTTTTAATCAGCAAAATCCAAACTGGTTTTATATAACCCAAGAGTCTTCTCTAGTTATCTTCGGGGTCAGTTAAATTTCAGTTAAGAAATCTTCAAAACTAAATTTTAATAATTTTTGAATTAAAATTCTATCATACAGGGTGAGCAGGTTCTGCAGAGGGAAGAAAAAATAAAAATCACTATAACAATCACAAACTAATACGATTCTAAGAAATTTTGGAAATAATTACATTTTCCATAGTTATTTGCCATTCTGGTCCACTACTATCCCTCTCCTACCTCTAGAAAATGATAATTCTCTCCATAAACTATTAAAAAAGTTTTGGTGGTTCTATGACATAGTCTAATTCTCCTGAACATGAAAAGACAACAAAGTCAAATCAGGCTAAATTTTGAGGACATTAAGTGTAGTTTATGCTGTAAGAGAGGCAAGAATCAAGTCATGATGAGGAACTTAAAGCAATTGGGGTTTCTCTCCCCCTTTTTAAAATTTTTTATTTATTTTTAAAAAAAATATTGAGGGCTGGCCCGGTGGCGTACTGGAGAGTGTGCCGCTTGGGAGCACGGTGGCGCTCCCACCGAGGGTTTAATTAAAATAATTCATGGGTTGCATGAATACAGTCGATGAATTGATTAATGAGATGGAGTGGAGTTTGAAACATTCCCAGAAGGCATATAAAGGAATAAAGAACTGGAAACATGAGAAAAAAATTAAAGGGTACAAAAATAGAATAAGTATCAGTATGTGACTAATAGGGGACCTAGAAGGGAAGAAAAAAAATAAAGTTAAATATTTGAAGAACTGGTAATTAAAATTTCCCCACAATTAAGGATAGATCAAACAGACTTACTGTGCATCAAACAAAAGAGAAGAAGGGGAAAATATGAACACATTGACATAGTTAATGGAAATTTAAAATTCATGGGTTGCATGAATACAGTCGATGAATTGATTAATGAGATGGAGTGGAGTTTGAAAAAGGAAAAGAAAATAATTCCACAGGAAAAAAGTAGGTCATTTATAAAGGAACGAGAATCATTTTCACATTTGACTTTTCAACTTCATTACTAGAATATTTCCAAACTATTTTTTAAAAAGGAAATTTGAATGTAGATATTTACATCTAGCTGAACTCTCACTGAAATATGAGTGCAATAAAGATATTCTTTGGTATAAAAGGCCTCAAAGGCTTTACTATATAGTGACATACTTTAAAAACACCCCTGGAGAAAGTATTCCACCAACATAATGAATAATTCCAGAGAACCTACATGATATGAGAATTACAGGAGAGTGAGAAACTTAGTAACATCTGCTGCCTAAATAAGCAATGTCTGAAGGAAAAAAAGTGTAATGGTCTGGATATCAAATTCTAGGAGATAGCAAGCTGATAGATGATGGATGGCAGGTGACCAGAGGAGGTAAAAGCATGCTAAGTTATTGGTCTCTTTGGAAAAGGAGATATAGATATCGATTAAATTCAGAAATTGATGGAGAAAAACTAGCCTAAGTATGGGTCTTAAGTTAGGAATAACCACTAGAAGAAGAAAAATAGAACACAAACTTCACAACTATCAGAAGTAACATTGACCCATCCAAGTAAAGGAGAAAAAAAGAAAAAAGAAGGAATGCTGGAAGATAGAGAACAGAAATTAAGAGGTCAGAAATAAGTCAGTGTAACAGTGATTACAAAGAATCCTAACAGATTAAACTCACCAGCAAATAAGTGATATTTTCATGTGGAAAAATAAAGATCTAGCAATATCATGTCTAAAGAAAAAATATGTTGTAAAAAGATATATCAGTATTTAGTATTGTGGCAGACATGGTGTTGCTATTAGTTTTCTGGGCTGCCATAACATCACCATCAACTGAATGGCTTAAAACAACAGAAATTTATTCTCTCACAGTTCTTGAGACTAGAAGTCCAAAAACAAAGTGTCAGCAGGGTCGTCCTCCCTCTGAATGCTCTGAGGAGGAACACTTCCTTGTCTATGCCTAGCTTCTGGTGGCTCCTGGCAAGCCTTGGCATTCCTTGGTTTGTAGACACATTACTCCAGTCTTTGCCTCCATATTTGCATGGCCTTTCCCCTGGTGTGTTTCTGTATGTGTCCTCTCCTCTTTCTATAAAGACAACAGTTGTTAGATTCAGGGCCCACTCTAATTTGGCATACCTCATTTTAACTAATTACTTCTTCAGAAACCCTATTTTCAAATAAGGTCATATTCTGAAGTTCCAGGCATAAATTTTGAGGAAACACTATCCCACCACAGTATTCTGAGGAATATCCTGCTGCAGAAAAACTAGAACCTGTGTAACTTACATTCTCTGAGCATTGTTTGTCTTGCAAGAAGTAGAGAAGGCTCCAAGATACCCGGATAAAAAATCAACTTTAAAAATTCAATAGTGTAATTCTACCCTCGGCAGCATTACCCATGAGAATATATAGTAGAAAATAAGATACTATTCACAATATCTAGGAGTTAACCTATCAGGGAATGCATGACTGTTAGAAAATGTTAACACTCTATTAAATGACCTTTAATAAAAACTGAGTCAGAGAACTATACCATGTCCATTAATATGCTGACTTAAAGATGTCAGTATTTCTTTCTTTATTTAGTTAGTTCAATTCAACTTCAATAAAAATTCTAGCAGTAGGACTTTGGGGGAAAATTCAACTAATGAAGAAGAAAAAATAGCTAAAAAAAATCTTGGAGAAGAAGAGCAAAAGGAAAAGACTTACTCTACCAGATATTAAAACATGCTACATTGGTATAATAATAGAAATGATATGATACTGAGTCAGGAATAGACTAGACTAATGGGAAAGAATATATGGGAATTTGGTTAATAATAGAGGGGCATCACAAATCACTATGGAAATGATTGTTTAGTGGATGATGGTGAGAAAAGTAGCTCATTATATGAAGGAAAGAGAATAGGATTCTTAGCACATAAACATACAAAAGTAAATTTTAAGTAGTTTAATGATTTAAATAACAAAAACAAAACATGGTAAGGAAACAAGAACCATGAGGATTTGGTGGCTGTTAGGTGCATTCTTTAACACTTTTCCTTCATATCTTTCTTCTGAATGGGCTTACAGAGTGTGGGGGTGGTTACAAGAGAGGTGTTCTTGAAAAACTAAGTTTTGTTCAGAAAAATCATGTGCAGCATGAGGGGTGGGGGATGAGGACTTTGAAAGTATGTTTGACTATATATAATGAATACATAATAAATTAAAAATTAAGGTAAGTTTTGCAGGTTTAAAAACTAATATTGGAAAAAATAAGGAAGGAAAAATGGTTTGTGGGACAATGATAGATATTAGAAAATATCTTTTACACATTCTCTTTAAAATAAATTATTTTTTTAAAGTAAGTATATTTTGAATATTGGAAGGAATTTTTATAATCCTCTAATATTAATAAGAATCAGAATTTAAAAATAGCTGCTTCTTGCAGACTCTATCAGCAACACCATGACTATGCCACTGCCATCACCACCTCCTTATTGGTTGGGACGCACTATATGTCAGGATTTTTTTTAATGTAACATTTATTTGTACATATTTCTGGAGTGCAGTATCTTGTTTCAATACATGCATATACTGCACAGCGATTCACTTAGGGTAGATAGCATAGTTTTGTACCCTTTAGTACACTATGTTTCCTTCCCCTGCCACCCCCTTCTCCCCTGCCTCTGGTAACCATTATTTTACTCTCTACTTCTACAAGAACCACTTTTTATTTTATTTTCCACACATATACTGCACAGCGATTCACTTAGGGTAGATAGCATAGTTTTGTACCCTTTAGTACACTACGTTTCCTTCCCCTGCCACCCCCTTCTCCCCTGCCTCTGGTAACCATTATTTTACTCTCTACTTCTACAAGAACCACTTTTTTATTTTAGTTTCCACCTATGAGTGATATCGTGTGGTATTTGTCTTTTTGTG